ATTCAGGAGACATGAGAGTCAGGGATTCTGGCTCTGGATTTTCCATCTTCTTAAACAAGCTGTCAAGCCATCTTAAACACGTCTATCAGAGGTAGGGAATGAGGAGTCAGACTCTTCTTGATTTACTCTGGTTATCTTCCCAACACACTGTCTTCACTCATTCTAAAGAATTAGCATATCAAATGGTAATCTCCTCTATTTAAATATTTTCTAATTTACACTGTTAAATTTTCTACTCAAAATTTTTATCTGTTTACTAGATAAGATTCCTTAGATTAAAAAATAATTGTCACTATCCTCCCTTTACAAAGACTACCAGTCCAGTGCACACTTTGCCCTTCATGCCATGCAGGCAGGTCAGGTGTGTCCACACCTAAAGTATTTCGTGAATGTTCCGGAGTACCTAGGAAGGTAGTATTGCTCTGACACGTAGGTGGTAGACAAGTTGGAAACCCGGCTCTGCCACTGGACAGTAATGCAGGAACTCAGGCATTAAGGAGCCCTTCTGGGTCTCTCCTTGCCTGTAGACTGGTGACCATGAAGCCTCTAGGCAGGTTAGACAAGAATGTTTGTAGTTGTGAATTCCAAAAGCCTACTGGAGCGGACACGTAATAGTAAAAAGTGGTTATTTTTACAACTGTCCCGGGGCTAGAAGATGTGGGGGGGCTCTAAAATAGACATGATCCATTTTTATTGCAGTTGACAGTGGACTTGCACAGTGGACTTGCACAGTTGTACCTCAAGTGAACAAGACATTCACCCAGTGGGTAGGAGAAGCCTTCCCAGTCCTTACTTACAAACATCGAGGCTGAAGAGGAGTCCCTGGAGGTGGCATTCCAAACAGGGGGTTCCCTAAGGCCTACCCAGAATGCTATCTTTTTCTCTATCTCATAAATTCTAGTAATTAAAGAAATAAAGTTTCAAATCCATTTCACATTTAACATACTCTGTAAGGAAGAGCACTATTTAAGGACAACAGATTATCTTGAGTACTTCTATACAATGTGTATACTGACATTAAAAAAAAAACTCAAATAAGCAACTAACTACTATCCTTTAAGGGAGAACAGCTAACACATAACAAGAGCTTTCCAAGTAGAAAAATCAGACGAGTATTTTAAAATTCATTTCACCCAACCTTTCATGTATAGACAGGAAAAATACAGTTTTTAGCAATAAGAAGAGGTCTTACTGAGCTGGACAAGGCGCTCCTTCTATTGGTGCACCCTAGTGCTCTGACAAGGGCAAGCAAGAAAATATGTCTCTTTTCCTTCCATGCCAAATTACTTTGATATCATTTTAATTTTATCTGTTGGATGTCACTTTTCTTTTTATTCACTGTAAAAATTATTTTTCTGAGATGGAAAAAAGTCAGCAACTTGGCATGTATGCTTATTGGCTGCTGTAAAAGTTTTTGGAAAAATAAAGATGAAAGAAAAAGAGAAAAAAAGTGTGTTATTAATTTGGGCCTTTATAATTAGGAATCTGTTATACTTTAAAATGGGCTAAATTTAGCTGGGTGTGGTGGCTCACACCAGCACTTTGGGAGGCCAAGGCAGGAGGATGGCTTGAGTCCAAAAGTTTAAAACCAGCCTGTGCAACATAGCAAGACCTTGTCTCTATAAAAATAAAGAATAAAAAAATTAGCCAGGCATGGTGGCACATGCCTATAGTCCCAGTTACTGGGCTGAAGCAGGACTGCCTAGGACTGCTCAGGAGGTCAAGGCCATGGTGAGCCATGATTGTGCCACTGCACTCCAGCCTGGGCAACAGAGTGAGGCCCCAATTTAAAAAAAAAAGCGGGGGACCAAGCTTAAGTTGATCTGTATATACTGCTTTCTTTCAATAGAGAATAATAAGCTGAGACTCACAAGAGAAATAATCAAATGAAATTAGAGAAAAAGTATGTTCAAAGAATTCTAAAATCTTTCTAGTTTTATTTATGAGGTCCTTTGTGTCAGTCACATTCTCTAGACAAACGGATTGTTCTTTAAACACTCCTAGTTGTTTCTTACCTCAGTGTCTTTGCGCTTGCTAGTTTATCTTTATAATGCCACCCTCAGTCCCTACCTACAGTCCTACCTTCTGAGATCCTACCCTTCTTTTAAAAACCCAGTTCAAATACCACTTCCCAAGAGAGTTTCCTCTAATCCCTCTTCATGCCAGAAACACTCTCTACAGTAGCCATGCAGAAGGTAAACATAAAGCACAGTTGTACCTCAAGTGAACAAGACATTCACCCAGTGGGTAGGAGAAAAGTCTTAAGGGACTTGGTGAAAAGTCTTAAGGGAGTGGTACTCCTATACAGTCAATACTAACTGCCTCCACATCAGCTTCTGGAACAAAATGAACAACATCAGACTCTCGAATATGACTTATTTACAGTACGGCACAGACAAGGATTATACCAATACTACATATGGTGTAAGGATTACACTATCTACACATGCAGGTATACACAAGCCAGACACACACACTTTAGAGATATGAATGACCTGCAGTCACGAGTGCCTTTTAAAAAACTAAACAACACTTATAAATATATATTTAATATTTTAAAATATACAGATATATTTAAATGCAAACTAACACCAACAACAAAAGTTAACTGCTGTCCTAAGATTCAAAGCTATAGTCACTAATTACTTCTGGAAAACAAAATCAAAATCAAGAGTGTAGTATCTACAAAAGCATTTAAAGAAGCTTGGGGCTGGTTAGTCACTTATCTTATTTAGGAAAGGTTAGAACAATTATTCACAGGAAAAAGGAAATACTGATTATTTCAATTCTGACTCCAGGTGGTTTCTTCCACCCATGCCAGCTCTGGTATGTCTCCCTTTTCTTTCTCTCTTCTTTCTCTAATAAATTTTGAAAACTTAAATTCTGACTCCAGAACTATTCGAGTGGCTTTATGAACTCTAGTAAACCAATAAGCTAACCACATGGAACTATAAATTACCTTTAGAGGAATATATTTAAAGGAACAGAAAGGTCATATCTATTCTATAACCCAATATCCTGGGCTTCTAATACACACCTCGATGCACTGTAATTGAATATAAAAACCAATTGCTTGAATTTCAGATCAGGGCCACTGAGAGGGTCAGAAAGACTTATTAACACAGACTAACAGAAAACAACTACTGCTCAAAAAATCCATGAGATTAATGAGCACAAATTTCCATGTTCAGTGGTGACCTCTGAAGCTAGACAGACAAGTGGGGCTTCAGCATGAATTCTGATTCCAGAAAGGACTGGTGATGAAAAAAAAAACATGGGTGCATTTCTAGCCAGGCCCCTGACTACTCTTCCTGGCTACTACATAGGTTTTGTACTGTCTTTCCCTGCAGTCAGCCAAGATACATGCCTTTTAGGCAGTTTCTTAGTTCACCTGTCTTTCCTCTTAGGGTGGTGAGCACTACCTAAATCCACAGGGATCTTCTCTCGCATCTGGGGGGTGCAATGGGATCGAACCACTGGTTAGACCATCTTTCAATGAAGCTTTTTAGAAAATTTCAAGAAATTTTCTGAATTAACTACCTTAAACATTATTCCAGTGAAGTAGATTACAAATACAAGCACAATTTTTTAAGAAAATGCCCTTTTTGGGACAAAATACTTTTCATCCTTGAGAACCACTGCATTAGGATAAAGTGTTTAGAAGTCAAAGATACTTATCTGCAGCCACTCATTTCATCCAGTAGATTTTATTAAGCACAAGGCACTGTTAGAAACTCTGAGTACACAGTAGTAGATACACAGATAAAGCCCTATTCTCATCTAATGCAGCAGACTGACAATACATTTAAAACAAATCTGTAATGGCTCCAGATAGTGTAAGTGCTATGAAAACAAAACAAAACAAAACAAATGGAGAATAAGGCTGAGTGTGATCCTGGGGTGAGGGTGCCCCTTTAGCAAGGGAGGTAGGGAAGTCAAGGAGTCTCAGCTGCACCCTGAAGCCTAGAGAAATAAAAGACTCGGTAGAGGTAAGAATCAGTGAAGGGTGAGGCACCAATGAGCCTAGTACATTCAGGAACTGAGTTGGCCAGTGTGGCTGCAACACACACAGAATGGTAGTATGGGAGGCATGAGCGGTAGGAGATACAAGGAGAGGCAGATCGTGTGTTCTGGATGTCTCAGGAAAAAGCTTAGATTTACTCAGAAGCAGTGGACAGCCACTGGAAAGAGTCAAGCAAGAAAGGGATTTATGATTTTACAAGAAAAATCTTGCTTTGGTATCAATAAGGGGTTATTGCCATACAAACTAATACTGAGTAAGTATAATTTGATGGTGGAAATTTAGGATAGTCAGGCATCACTTATTTGCTTTAACTTGAAATTAAACAGTGGGATGGTTAAGAGAACATCAACCCACCCCCGCCCCGAGAGAAAAAGGACGGAGATTTCCACTCTGCTTGCAGGTTACACTTTTTATAAAGTGTTCAAGTCAAATTAAGGAACAATAGTTCTGAAACCATTCTACAGTTCTGAAAGCCCTAAAAAAAGTACATTTTTCTTGCTCAACTCCCACCTTACCACTTGCAAGTCTAAAATCAGAAGAACAGGATCAATCACGAGCTTCTATAAGAGGCTTGAGTTACAGTAAAGTCTCTAATCCTTTCCAGCTGCTAATCATCATTTCCCTCAGTTAATATAAAGGAACTAAGTTAGCTCCTATTTGGATGATGACTCATGATGTAAATAAGATTATAAAAGGAACATCTGCAAAGCAACCTTTGATAAACTGACTGGACATCCATCTAGTCCTCACAGTTTCCTTTTTAGACTTTCCTTGGTCAGATCATTCAAACTGCTAAAGATACTATATTCCAAAGTAACAGAAGTTCATAATATTTTTAAGATGCTATAATTCATTTTTCACTAGCTTATGGGACCATCCTTTTTGGTCTGGACTAGTAAGATTTTAAACTATTTTTAACAAACTTAAAACAGAAGTAAATATTATTAGCACAAGAAAATATAATACATAACAATACCTCTACTTTAATTCTCTTCGGGGATAATTCATCTCTTTCTCCACATTTTGACCTAAAGAGAAGGGAAGAGAGAGGAAAAACATGAGAAAGGAATAAATTTTATTCCAAAGGCATCTCAATTCGTAATCTTCCACCAAACTATATACCCTGAAACTTCAACATCAGAAATAACACATTCGTTACGAACATTAAAATAATGAAAAACAGATTTTTAAAATAATTTCCAAATTAACATTAGGGAAATACGTAGACACAATTATACATTTTAGAAGGCCACTACCTAAGAACACCCCACAGACAGCACACAATAAGTATTTAACGACTATCACACAATAAAAAAGAAAAAGAAAAAAATCAAGAAGCTTCTCCCTTTATGATTTAGTAGGAACAATTTAGGATAAAATGACTCAAATGACCATTTAAGATGAATGTTTAAGGCTCCATGAAATTAAATTGCATTTTGTCTGTCTACCAAAAGTATAGATGTATTTACCTTGATCTAGAAACTTCTCTGCTGTAAGCCCATCCCAGAGGCTCCTGCACATATATGGAGTGATACTCCATCAATTGTAAGACATACAATTATTTCAGATACATTATAAAATACCACTGCCAATTAAACTCAACAAGCCACTGGCTGAAGCTATACTTCAATATAAAAGAGGATAAAGCCAGGCTCGGTGGCTCAGCCTGTAATCCCGCGCCTTTGGGAGGCTGAGGTAAGTGGATTGCCTGAGCCCACGGGTTCGAGACCCACCTGGGCAACTTGTAGAGACCTCATCTCTACAATAAATAAAAAATTAGCCGAGTGTGGTAGTGCGCGCCGAGTGTGGTAGTTCCAGCTACTTGGAAGGCTGAGGCGGAAGGATCCCTGGAGCCCAGCAGGCGAGGCTGTGATGGCCAGAGCGGCCACTGCACTCCAGCCTGGGCGACAGAGTGAGACTCCAACTCAAAAAAAAAAAAAAAAAAAAAAAAGATGATAAAATGTGAAAAAAGTACATAAACAAAATATGATATGTATGGCATTATTTACTGTGATATTACTTACAATGACAAAAGACTAGAAACAACTCAAGTTATCAATCAATAAGGAGCTGAACCAAAGGCAACAGGGTCCAGTCACACAATTCAATACCATGCAGCTGTAAAAAATAATGAGGAAGCTGTATATAGTGTTAAATAAAATAAAAGCAAAATGTAGAAAAAAGCATATGTATGCTTCTTTTCGTTTTCGAAAAAAGGCAAAAATGAAAGTATATATTTGTATTTGTTGTACGTGTATAAACAAACATTGGAAGGATGAAAAAGAACTATCAAAACTAATTGGGAAGGGGATGGGGTGGGAGAGACAGGAATCAGAATGCAATTTTTCGATGTCATCTTTTTACACAGTTTTGCCTTCTAAATTATAAAACCTTTAAAATATACTTAACTTAAAAAGAAATGTAAATGTAAATAAATGCTAGAAGAAACAGCTAAAATGGCTAAGGTGGTTGCCCTTGGGGCATGACTGAGAGGCAGGAAAGGGCAGAGCACAGAACTGTCCCATTTCACTCTAGGCCTCACATCCTACAAGACTTCCTAAATCACGTGTATGAGTTATTTTTATTAAAGAATTTGATTACTTTGGTATTTAAGTAAAGTACATAGAAAGAAAATTTTGTAAAATATTATATAATGATGGAAAAAAACCCACTAGATCAGCTCTTGATGATCCAACTCAAAAAAAACCCCAGAAACTTGTAAATAATCCTATAGAATACTGCTGCATATTCTTACCCCATTCATTTAATCTACCTAATTTCACTTACAGTCAAGATGCAGTACTGAGGTAGGGTGGGAAATAAACTGCTATAAGTTAGAGCAAGTAATGGTGGGAGCGCAAATTCCTGTAGTGGTAGCTTTCAAACTCGAGTATGCATAAGAACATCATCTGACATGCTTATGAAAGTTCAGATTCCAGGGCTCCATTCCCAAAGACTGATTTATTAGGGCTGGGAGGGTGCTCAGAATCTGAATTTTCAATAGCAACTCAGAGTTACTCTAATGTATCCACTCAGAGAAGCAGTGGAGTGCACAGCAGACAGTGGGCAGGAAATCGGGGTCCACACGGAGCTAAGCGAACAAAATCAAAATGGTCCTGTCCGGCAGACAAGGCTTAGGGATCAAGTGAGGAAGAAGAAGAAGATGGTGCATTTACACTAAATTCTGAAATCACCATTGCTTTTCCAAATTCATGTTCCATAATACACCCGCTAGTAATGAAAGTATCTTCTAATTTTCCCTGAAAAACTGGTCGATAGAGTATTTTTACGTATTTAGCTAATTACATTAGATAGCAAATACCTTGCAAAAGGAACTATTTCCCTCAGAGAGTTCAACAAGTTAACGCAGTTAACTAACTCTAAGTCTGTAAATGCTGCCTGACTAAATCTCATCATCACACTCAAAATCACAGTGTGTGTGAGAAGGTCTAACACCACTACCAGAATAATGCTATGGTCAGGGAATGACGTCTTCCAAAAGAGAAAGTTAGAGGAGAATTAAACAAAACAAAGAAAATCACTATAGTGATAATGTTTTGAAAAGTCACTGCATTGTTTAACTTTGTAGAACTATAATCACACCTCTACTTTTACAGAAGCACTTATATTATGGATGGTGTTTCAAACTCTACGTCTATCGAGCAATGTAAAAATACTGACAACGAGTGAAACACTTACTTGGTGGTTCTGTAAGTATATTTATAGGTGACTTCCCGAGAAATCTGTCTTGCCAGAGCAAAAAGTTCATCTCTTCTTGTCAGCAGAGCATTGTCCTTCACACAGAGTTGTGCAGCTGCTTCATTAACAGTGAGCTGGACATCCAAAATAGAGTTAAAAAATTAAAAACATTTTTATTTCAACAAAATGCAAAAGGTTTCAGTTAAGAATACAAGAAGTCACACCGTTATATAATAAAATAATTCATACAAACCAGGATTGTATTTATTCCTCACTACTCTTAATGTCAAATTTCAGAAGAAAATCAACTTATCTGCTATCTTGCAGGGCCCAAACTAATCAAAATAGTCATCTTTTATTTATTTATGTTTTATTTTTGAGTTTACAGATGACAAAAAAATTTTTTAAAGTAAAAAACATTCTGCATCTCACTTTTCTTATTCAAAAAACCAAAAGATTTTATTATATGATAAGGAAACAATATTTCCCTAACTCAGAGTGAGTATACACAATCGGACAGATACTTTTTAAATGTCAACTGACATGAACACTCCTAAGAAGGAATAAAAAATGAATGATTTTAAACATTTATCAAATAACTTAGTAAAAAATAGTTATCATAAATCAAGGCAATACAGGAAAATCTCAGAGAATAATCTCTAAGCTCCATCTACTTTTACCCTTTCATGAGTCAATAATTGTTACACATGGCCAACAGTGTTGCTACTTGACTGAATACTTTGTACCCTAAACTCAAAGCCTATAGTTGTTTAATAAACTAGAAAACACTTTTTCATATAATTGTGCCAATGTAAACAGATGTAAGGAACTGCCAAGAGGTGTATCAGACTTTTTGAAAAAGCAAACAAATATACTCAATCAAGGCGTGATTGCAAAAGAAATACAGGACACGACAGCAGACAGCCTTGTGAGGAGTCCCCCACCTCCAGCCTCCCAGCTGTGCTGTGGACACATAGAAACTTCTCAGAGACTCAGTTTTCTGAGAGGCAAAATGGGATCATATCTCTATCACAAAGGGCTCTAACAAGAAGCATGTGTGAAAACACGACACACCTGGCACAGCTGTGTTAGTTCTTTTTTTTTCCCACAAGAAACCAGGTACAGTGGCCCCCCTTATCCACAGTTTTGCTTTCTACGGTTTCAGTTATCTGTGGTCAACCACAGTCCAAAAATATTAAATGGAAAATTCCAGAAAAATAGCAATTCACAAGTTTTAGGTTGTGTGCAATCCTGCTCTGGTCCTTTGTCCAATGTATCACACTGCACTCCCCACTCGGCAGTCACTTAGTTGCCATCTAGGTCATCAGATCGACTGGCTGGTATTGCAGAGCTTGTGTTTCAAGTAACCCTAATGTGACCTAATAATGGCCCCAAAGCACAAGGACAGTGATACTGGCATCCTGTTATAATCGTCCCAGTTTATTACTGGTTATTGTTGTTAAGTTCTTACTGTGCCTAATTTATAACCTAAACTTATCATAGATATGTATATATAGAACAGTCTACATAGGGTTTCCTACTATCTGTGGTTTTAGGCAACCAACTAGGGGTCTTGGGACAAAACCCCACAGATAAGGGGAGATCACTGCACTCACCTTTTCTTCCAACCCAGCATCTCACTTTTATTTACAATATGTTTTCTTACTTAAAATGTCTTAGCCCGTGGCTCAGCCTGTAATCCCGCACCTTTGGGAGGCTGAGATGGGTGGAATGCCTGAGCCCACAGCCTCGAGACCCGCCTGGGCAACTTGGTGAGACCTCATCTCCGCAATAAATCAAAAAATTAGCCGGGCGTGGTAACACGCGCCTGTAGTTCCAGCGACTTGGAAGGCTGAGGCGGAAGGATCGCCGGAGCCCAGCAGGTCGAGGCTGTGGTGGCCAGGAGTGGCCACTGCACTCCAGTCTGGGCGACAGAGTGAGACTCTAACTCAAAAAAAAAAAAAAAATTTCTTAGAACACAGAGACAAATGAAAATAAATGCAGTGTGCAATCCTTCTAGCCAGGATGACAATATTTTAATATACATTATTCCAGTATTTCTCTGTACATATAAACATAGGTATATATGTATATACATACTTTTAATCTACTTTTTTCACTTATGTATGCTGTATTTTTTATTTTTGTCATATATTAAGACAGAGACTTGGCTTGTTTACATCAGTAATTAGCATGGGTCAGATCCTTCATCAATATCTGTTGACTGAGGGATAAATTTAAATATCCTTTAGATGATTACTTTTACTAACTACACAAACAATATTATAGACAAGAACAACACATTATTTAAATCAACATCACTCTAGATATCAAACTACCGTCAGTTTTCCATGTACTACAAACAAAGCTGCAAGGAGTTTTCTTAAATGTGCATCTTTGAACACATATCCAATGGTTTCTTTGAAATAAATTCCTACAAATAGATTTGTTAGGTCACAAAAGCTATGACATTTTAAGAAATTTATACATTTACACCAAATTACCCTACAGAAATAATGCTCAAAATTATAATGTCACCATTTACATGAAGATTCTATTTTCTAAAATCTTGATCAACAGTGGTTATCTTTTAAAAATTTTATCAATTTTACGTATTCATTTGTTTTTTATTATGATTATTATTTTGAGTTGGAGTCTCACTCTGTCACCCAGACTGGAGTGCAGTGGCCACTCCTGGCCACCGCAGCCTCGACCTGCTGGGCTCTGGCGATCCTTCCGCCTCAGCCTTCCGAGTAGCCAGAATTACAGGCACGTGCTACCATGCCTGGCTGATTTTTTGATTTATTGTAGAAATGACGTCTCGCTGCCCAGGCGGGTCTCAAACCGGCGGGCTCAGGCAATCCACTCACTTCAGCCTCCCACAGGTGCAGGATTACAGGCTGAGCCACTGAACCCAGCTTGTTCTCAGACAATTAACTTGGCTACTGACAGCAAGGTTATAAGCAGTCCAGGACTCCTACTTTAAGCCATAGATGACTATGAAAGCATAAATGAAGGAAGAATTTATTTTCAGTCTTCTCTCCTCCTCCTAGAGAGTCATTGATAGATCAATTCCTCCCATAAGTGCTTTTGAAAGGCACAATGGAGCTAAAAGTGAAATATATGCTTTAAATAATGATTTCCTAAATAAATTACCTTCAATTTCAGCATGGCAATCACTACAATGACCTTGAAGACCCTTCTTAAATAGCTTTTTATGTAGCTATTTCTCTTTTGTACTCATAAATTTAAATTACTATGGAGATCCTCTTATTCTAAGATATTTTAACTGACATTTCAGAGGTACCAGCTTATGCACAACCACAGAAAATAATTTTCTAACATAAACTGAAAACGACGTTCTAGTAGTATTCCTTCCATTATCTCACCAGAAACCAAGAAAAACAAGTGTGACATACTCATTGTCACTGAACTCAGGCTTCAGCAGACCAAAAGAAGCAGGTTGGACATTCCAGACCTTCTGGGAGCCTTATGATAGAAAACTGAGGCTAGAGACATAATCCTAGCTCACTCTCAAGTCATAAGAAAAAGCTGGCTAGCTCAGTGACTCAGCCTGTAATCCCAGCACTTTGCAAGGCTGAGGCAAGTGGATTGCCTGAGCCCGCGGTTTCGAGACCCGCCTGGGCGGCTTGGCAAGACCTCATCTCTACAATAAAATAAAAAATTAGCCAGGCATGGTAGTGCATGCATGTAGTTCCGGCTATTTGGTAGGCTGAGGCGGAAAGATCGCTGGAGTCCAGCAGGTTGACGCGGGGGTGGCCGTGAGTGTCCCACTGCACTGCAGCCTGAGCGACGGAGTGAGACTATGACTCCAAAAAAAAAGAAAGAGAAAAAGCTGATTCATAATGCATCTCCCTCAAAAATATGTGTTCTGTCGGTGTTACCTCGATCTCAAGCCCTCTCATTGCCAATAATTAACAAGCCAGTAACTATGATAACACACTTTAAAAAGTATCACTCACAGCAGTGCTATGTTAGCTTTTTAAAAAATGCCAATATTCCAACTTTGTTAGAATTATAAAGTAGCAAGATATTCTCCTTTACTGCTTTATGTATTTCCACTTCCTCTTTTTGTGGCCAAAAATACCAAAATTCCATTCATATCTTCATGTGAAAAATTTCTTAAAGTTAGAGTTCTATCATTTATAACTGGACTTAAAAAACTAGACTCACGACAGTTATCTTTATCCTCACAAAGGACAGTTTACTGATCTCAAAAACAACTATCTTTACAGGGAGTTAAAATTATAAACTTTAATAATCAAATGATTATGACTTCCAGCCTAGAAACATTATGTGAATGCTGTGGGACAGGGAAGTTCAAAGGGTAGTCGGGACTTCTATTTCAAGCTCTAGGCGGGCTAGGTCCTGACCCCTCACAAAAAACAAACAAAAATGATAGCTAAAATGGGGAGATGGGTATTTAAATGCTCCAGGAGCTCATGAGAGAATGAGGACTATTCATGTCAAAATGAATGAGGACATCTCGAAGGAGTTTGTTACGGACAGCTGCTGAACAGGATAAACTTGAGCATTAGTCCTCATAGCCTCGTGGGTTTGGGAGTCCTGGAAGGGAACAAGAGGAAAAGTCCACCAGAAGTGAAGACCTATGAACCCACTCCTTCAAAAAGCTGAAACCTCAAAGCACCACATACCCAATCTAAGGCTGAATTAGAAACTCACCTGCACCCCAGGCAAATGCAAGAAAGAGTACCTGTCTTGAACCCAGTGGTACAGATGGGGAGAGAAGATACTCTCTTGAGATTCCACTCTTATCCTTAAATCAGCCCTCACAAAACTTTCAGCCCTAATTTATACTAAGTGGACTAAGAATATATTTTCACAGGGTCCCAGATTTGTAGAGTCCACAGATGCCTGATAGAAGACAAACCAAATAACCTCTAGGGGAATACATTTCCTTCCCAGGGCTCTAAACATTCCCACAGTCAAAGTTCCAAGAAATATGAGTTCACAGAGAGAAATCATAAAACATTCAAAGAAACAAAGTAGCAAGGTGAAAATCAGTAGAAACAAAACAGGATCAGACCATCGAAGAATTAATTTAAAGAAATTAAGAGAGTTGAAAAACAGAACAGTAAAAATGGTCAAGAAA